TTGAGGCAGGATCACTCTAAATCACTAAATTGCCCAGGGCTCAAACTTCCAATCCTCTTGTCTCAGGCTCCCAGAGTGCTAGGATTACAAGCATGCACCATGGCTAAATGGTAATGCTCAGAGTGTAGAAAGAAAAAGGTGAAAAACAATAAGGTTTTAAGGAGGCAGTGCAAAGAGTAAAGGCAAACATTTAACACAAATGCAAAAGAGCTGCTGTAGGTGGTCAGGTATTCATTCAGCAAACCCCCATTGTAGACCTGTCCCAGTGAAAGTGTGGGGACAGCTACTCTGCTTTGGGACTGCTACTGAGGTAAAAGTGGAAGTGTGTGTGGGGGGGACAGGGTCTCACTATCTAGTCAAGATTGACTTGGAGCTCACTATGTAGCCCAGGCTGGTTTTGAATCTACAGCGATCCTCCTGCCTCAGCCTCCCAAGTGCTGGGATTATGGGATTACAGGCATGCACCACCACGCCTGGCAAAAGTGGAAGTTTTTCACCTGGTGTCCTCCTGGGTAGAGGCCTTGACATGAAAAGGTGGCAGGTCGGTATAACAAGCTTCCTTTAAGTTTCTCCTTTTATATGTCTTGAAATGAGGTGGTTGCATCATTCCTTGACTTCATAAATTCACATTTTTGATGTGTCTGATAAGTTCAATGTCTCTATGACCCTGATTTAATTCAATCATTTCATCAGTTTTAATTTTTATTGGCACAAACAAGTTATATAAGGCAGGTGCAGTGGTTTGCTATGGTAATTTCAGCACTAGGGAGGATGAGGCAGGAGGAGCACGGTGACCAAGAGAGCAGCCTGGGCTACATAGTGAGACCCTATCTCAAAACAAAACAAAAAATGAGTCGCTTATCAGCACAAGCCTTATGATTGTCCTGTGCACATGATGATTATTTACTTACACAGACAAGATACAGAGCTATTCTACCTTAGCATTTGCACCCAAAATGGAGTAACTCAGGCCAAAGGGCAGCTGGAAAGCTACCACATTATACAGTGACTTTTGGGGTTTGCTGAAGAGTGGCTGCTGTTTCCCCCCAATTTTTAGCAGTTAACAATAAACACTGTGATTGCTGCTGCAAACGTTCCTGCACAGGTTTTTGCATGAAAACCTGACTACATCCTCAAGTCTTTAGAAGTCTGAATCTAGCCTGGGCAACTCAACAATTTAGCAAGAGCTTGTCTTAAAAGAAAAAATATAAAAGATCTGGGGGTACAGCTCAGTGTGAAAGCCCTGGATTCAATCCCCAGTACTGTAGGGAGGGAAAAAAAATCCAAAGATCTGAACAAATGCTACACTGAAGAAGATGTACCGATGTTAGACAATCATATGAAAACATGCTCGTGTTACTGGGAACTGGAACAATTCTAAATACACTACCATGAAATACCACCTGTACCCACTGGAATGGCTGAAAATAGAGAAAAGACCCCAAATGCCACGAAAAGGCACAGATGTGGAAGAACTGGAACTCTCACCCTGTCACTCTGGAAAACTGCCCGGAAGTTTCTCATAAATTGTACTTAACCATAGGATGTAGTTGTCCCATTTTTTTTACAGTTTTACGCAAGGGAAACGAAAACCTACCTTCCCATAAAAACTTGTACGTGAGTGTCTACACAAGTCTTATCATTATCAAACACTGGACACAATCCAAAAGTCTGTCGATAAACTATAGGTACAACTTCGTATTACCTAACCGTGAAAAGGAACCAGTGATAGAGGTAACAACCAGTGTGATCTTCAGGGCATCAGCCATGGCAAAGGTTACTTGGTTTTTTGTTTGTTTCGGTACTCAGGTCCTTGCGCTTGAGAGGGAGGCACCAGAACCACTGAGATAAATCCCCTGCCTGCAAAGGTTACTTTGTATATGATTCCTACTATGTGGTCATTCTAGAAAGGAACATAGCTATAGGTTGCAGGTGGGCAGTTGCCAGGGAGCAGTGGGGGGAAAGGAATAAATGAAAATTAACTCTAGAGCATTTGGAGGTGTGGGATGAAATGTTTGCATCTTGGTTGTTGTGATTACACAGCTGCATGCATTTGCCAAAGCATCAAAGGAGTTTATTATGTGAATGCAGAAAAAAGTTACTTGAATATTGTCATGTATGTGCTTTTTGCAACCTCCTTACTTAGTCAACATGTTTCTATAATTCCCAGATCCACTCATGTCTTGAAAATGTTTAATAGGAAGAACATATTCCAAATGGAAGGACTATGATGGTAGAATCTAGTTTCGAACACTTATAAGACTCTAGGGTCATGCATGCACTTGATTCCAAAATGGAAACTGTCGTTGGGTGAAGCCAGTCCCACCCGCTCCACTGGCGAACGTGTCTTTGACATGAGGGGTGTCTGAGGTTGCCTGTCACCAGCATCGTCTCCAATCCTGAAGGCTGTTTTTACCCCATACTGAATTCTTCCCGGGAACTCTGCCAACATTCAGTAAAGAGCCTGGGGGAGGCTGGACTCCACTTTCTGTTTTGTGAGTTCTATGAGAATCGAATTCATTTACTCATGAGGCACTGGAAAGCGATCCAGGCAAGTCCAACCCCTATCAGCAAGTAGAGGCTGACACCGCTGAATTGTCTTCTCTTTCCCTAAGAAGGTGAGCTGTCTTGGGTTATTTTAAGTCTCTTCATGGCTATGAAATGTTGTCTGATACTCATCACACCTCTGAAGCTTTCGTTTATCTCCTCGATGCCTGACATATCTCAGGGACTTATGTCAATGGCCTAGATACAACGAAAGATAAGCGCGAGAGCAACAGCTCGGCCAGAATGGAGCGGATGACGGGAGTGCAGTCCAAGGCTGTGTGGCAGTGAGGGGCAGTGAACTGCGAGGACACCCCTCCCAAACTCACCGCTGCAGCTCCGTCCTTCACCTCCATTTGGCTTTGAAATGAGAGCACGGGGGTCTTCTCTGCTTCCTCTGGTCTTGCAGCGCTTATAAAGGAAGAGGAAGCCGCAGACTCTCCGTCCAGTGATCACACACGTCTCCTTTCGAGTCTCCATTTCCAATTTAACAGAATATAAATGAAGGCATTGGAAACTGGAAGCCCCAGTGCTTCAGGAAATGTAGACGTCCGAAAGTTTTTCTAGGGATGAAGCATTTAGAATCTGGCAGAATTTTTTTTTTTTTCTTTTTGTGGTAACAGCCTAGCTTTGAGAAATGTGTGCAGCACATTTTCCCACACTTCTTCTAAAGAAACAAAAGAAAGAAATATTCTAGAAAATTATTTTAGAGAATGCACATAATTCCTAACCATTAATTATCCATGATTGGATGCCAGGAAAATCTGTTTCAGAAACAGTTAACACAAAACTGGGGATTTAGCTCAGTGGTTCCACTGCCTGCCTTCATAAGCACAAGGTCCTGAGTTCAATACCTGCTACAAAAAAACAAACAAACAAACAAAAAACCAAAAACAGTTAACACAGAATGTTGAATGAAAAGAGAAATTATGGTGATAAAAGCTAAGGATTGGTTAATATAACCTCACATGTGTGTACAAAAGCAGAACATAGTCAATAGAAAATAAAACATATTCAATCCCCGGCACCAAAAAAAAACCAAAACAGAAAATAAAACATACCCGAGCCCGGCATGGTGGTGCATGCCTGTAATCCTAGCACTCGGGAGGCTGAGGCAGGAGGATCACTGTGAGTTTGAGACCAGCCTGGGCTACATATGAGTTCCATTCCAGGTCAGTCTCAACTATATAGTGAGAGCCTGTCTCAAAAAAATAAAAAATAAAACATATATTGATGTAAGTAATGTTGAATTTTTTTAGGAATACATTTGATGAAAATGAGAAAGGTTTTATTGCAGGCTGGAGAACCTCAGACAGAAAGTTTTTATTCATTTGAATAGGAAATGGGTTGTTTTTCTTTTTTTTATTTAAAGCACTTTAACATAAGCTGCTGAAACTCTTAACTAAAACACCTAAACTTTCTGTCTTTCTAAGCATGGAAGAATCATAGTCCAGCTACTCCATGTGGAGAGAGCAGGAATCTAAGCATCCGCGATAACGCGCCCACTGCAGCAGCTGCCCAGGGTTGAACATCACGGTGCAGAGCTGCAGGCGACCACGACAGCACCAGACGGCTGTTCTACCACTGTGTTTAAATTCTCTCATCACCAAGCTATAAGGAGCGTAACACGTTCAGCACCGGTCAGCTTCCGTTTAACTGATTCTAATGCATTGAGGTTTTATTGTCTTAGCAAAGCAATGCTCACGAGAATAGACACTGAATAATACGAAAGGCCAAGAAATGGTCCTCCTAGTACTATTCAAAATGGTGGGGAAATAATAACTTCACAGAGGGGAAACCTGGCTGGCACGCCTCAGCCAAATGGTGAGAGCTAACTTTCCAGTGATGGGGCCAACCCAAGGGTCTCTAAGTAGGGTGCAGAGAAAAACCGAGCTCTATGCTTGCAGTGCAACCACCAAAAGCACGTCACTTGGACCCGGTCGGGAGGAAACCTCACAAACCTGAGTTAACTGAGAGCTAATCTACAAAATAACTGGCTCATGCTCCTCAAGCATGACCTGAGAAAGAAAGAAAGACTCACAAAGATACTCCGCATCCTGGGAGACTGGAGACAGGATGGCAGAATTTCTGTTTTGGGTGACTGGTGCTATAAAACCTAGTGCTGGGACAACTGGCATCATTTTAATAAGGTCTGTAGGTGAGGCAATGGTGGTGTTGCTGAGTTAATTTCCTGATTTCGCTCTTGGTCCTGTGGTCATGTAAGAGAATCTGTGGTTTTGGGAAATGCAGAGGGAGATACTTAAAAAGTCATGGTATCTGCAGCTTATGTTGAGGTGGGCAAAACGTTGCAGACCTTGGTCAGTGGTGGTTACTGTCCTTATGTGAACACAGACATTGAGGGCCATCAAATGCATGAATGCCATTGTTTGTAATTACACTCATAAAATGCTCATTTTGGCATAGTTCTTTCAGGCTTTGTGAGGTACAGTAGTTCCGCAAGCATGAAGTCATGTGAGCCAGCTTCACACTTCTTATACATATGGTTTTCTGTTTACTGATTAGTAGGCTGGCTCAGCGTTGTATGAAATTCAATAAATTGTCACCAAACTGTGAGAAGCCCACTCTGCATTACGTGTCATTTTATCTCATCTATTTTCAGTAGCCTCAATGGAGCTTGTAGGCTCATGTAAAATCTCGCCTGCTTTTGCAAAGAGCAGCAAATACATTCTATCTAAAAAAAAAATCTTCTCACTAACAAAAGATCTCCCCGATGTGAAACAATCTCTAGATTTTTTTTTATTATGAACAAAAAAAAAAAAAAAAAAAAAAAAAAAAAAAAAAAAAAAAAAAAAAAGGGCTAATTGGTCCTGTGGTCATGTAAGAGAATCTGTGGTTTTGGGAAATGCAGAGGGAGATACTTAAAAAGTCATGGTATCTGCAGCTTATGTTGAGGTGGGCAAAACGTTGCAGACCTTGGTCAGTGGTGGTTACTGTCCTTATGTGAACACAGACATTGAGGGCCATCAAATGCATGAATGCCATTGTTTGTAATTACACTCATAAAATGCTCATTTTGGCATAGTTCTTTCAGGCTTTGTGAGGTACAGTAGTTCCGCAAGCATGAAGTCATGTGAGCCAGCTTCACACTTCTTATACATATGGTTTTCTGTTTACTGATTAGTAGGCTGGCTCAGCGTTGTATGAAATTCAATAAATTGTCACCAAACTGTGAGAAGCCCACTCTGCATTACGTGTCATTTTATCTCATCTATTTTCAGTAGCCTCAATGGAGCTTGTAGGCTCATGTAAAATCTCGCCTGCTTTTGCAAAGAGCAGCAAATACATTCTATCTAAAAAAAAAATCTTCTCACTAACAAAAGATCTCCCCGATGTGAAACAATCTCTAGATTTTTTTTTATTATGAACAAAAAAAAAAAAAAAAGAAAGAAAGAAAGAAAAAGAAAAAGCATATAGGGCTACTTCAGAGGAGATGAAAAACTAGGACCTTGGCCATTTCTCACCCTAGATCACAGGATTTCTGTCTCAGAGGAGCTTAGAACTCATTTTAGAAAAGAGATTGTAAAATGGACAGTTTCCTGTGAAGAGATTCTGATGTCTTTATGTTGTCTCACCAAAGTCTTGAAGAAAAATGAGCAGCAAAGACTACAGAGATTGGCTTTCAAACCCCAGGCATGAACACTCTAAGTGGAGCAGGGCATGGTGTTGCGATCCTATAATCCCAGCCCTGGGGAGGCTGAGGCAGGAGGAGTTCTGTGAGTTCAGGCCAGCCTTGGTTAGCTACATAGTGAGTTCAAAGCCAAGCTTTCAGCTGGTTTGTTAAAAAAAAAAAAACAGTAAAAAATAAAGAAGAAAGACTATAACTGGCAGTGGAAGCAAATGCAGTACACATTTGGACCTAGCCAGCTTAGCAAGGGGCTGTGTGCTCCCTCTGGGGACCATGGCTTAACACCGAGATGGACAGAAAAGCTGGTGGCTTCCGCTCATTCTGACTGCAACAAAACAACTCCATGTCCTTGCACAAGCTCCTTCTCAGCAGCCCCGTTTTCTCACCCGCAGCATGAAAGTTCTCGCTGAGCAATACACCTATCCGACACCCTCAGACTCTCAGGATCTTGGACGCAGGACAGAGGTCTTTTCTGTCCTTAATCCCTGCCACTGTTTCCCCTGGCCTTCTAGATCTGACCACCTTGGCGTTGGCGTGGTGTCTAGTGCTCCCTGGGGCGCTCCTTGTACAAGAGAAAACATTTAAATTTAAATTATTTCCACTGTGGTCTTTGCTTACTGAGGAATTTAAAAAAAAGTTTCCTTTTCTACTACATTCTTCGAAGTTTCCATAAAAACTCCACAGCAGGGACGGTAACAGGGTTCAGAAACAGCCAGTAGATGAAATGACTCTCTGTGGTTTAACTTTGGTCCTTCAGGAGTTTCTATGTAACTGAGTGACTAGGTGGTAGTAAGAACATCTGTGTGGAGGCTGGAAAGTCTCCTGTGACAAATAACAAATTTTAAGATGAGTTAACAAAATTAAAAATGGATTTAAAAATGACTCACTTAACATTAGAATAATCCCCTTCTCCTCCTCCTCCTCTTCCTCCTCTTCCTCCTCCTCCTCCTCCTCCTCCTCCTCCTCCTCTTCCTCCTTCTTCTCTCCCTCTCCTTCTCCTTCAGGTTTTTAGGGAGATAAATCTTGCAAAAGGGAAGGGCACCAAAACATGGAGGAGCAGGGAGGGGAAGAGGATGAAGTGTAATTTAGATGTGTTATGTGAAGTAGCAACTCCCCATGAGCAATACAGTCATTATGTATTGCAAAATACTAAACATAAAATTAAATTTAAAAAAAATTTTTTTTGGTACCGGAGTACCAGGGATCGAACTTGGGTCCTTGCACTTGCAAGGCAGGCAGAAGAACCAGTGAGCTAAATCCCCAGCCCTAAACATTTTTGAGACAAAAATTTCACCATGTAATTCAGGCTGGCCTTGAATTTACTGTGTAGCCTAAACTGGCCTGGAACTCTCAGAGATTTCCCCTGACTCAGCTTCCAAAATGCTGGGATTAGTGTGCACAGGACCACACCCAGCTAAGAACATTTCTATAATGGTTCTGATAAAGAACCATTCCAGCCAGACTGTGAGGCCAGTTCACACTCCAGCCCCAAGTCACACTTGGCTTTTACCTTGTGGTCAAAATGGCAGATTGAAACACAACGTTGGTTCTGAAACTAGAAAATGCCTTTCCTAAACTAAAACACTAAAATAAACATTTTTTTTTTCCTTAAAGAAGAGATTCTTGGCTGGGTGAAAATAGCATACTCCTGTAATCCAAGCAATCTGAGAGGCTGAGGCAGGAGGATCAAAAGTTAGAGGCCAGAGCACAGCCGGGCCTATATGGCATTAACGGAGATCTTGTCTCAAAATATAAAATTGTAAGGAGGATGTGAGGAAGTGACTACATGTGAAGGTCTTGGGTCCTATCCCTAGTACCACAAAATGAGAGAGAGAAAGAGAAAGACAGATCCTCCAGGACTGATGGGAGAAGCCACTTTGATCCTTATTTTATGTATTTTTCCCCATGACTCAACTCCCGAGAGAGGAAGTTTCTGACGGTATGTTGCCTTCACATCGATTTAGGGGCTCAGTGTTAAGAGCATCACATGACAGCTGTTTATCTTACTAGAGGCAGAGGACTTGAGTGGATACTTCATGGCCTTTAGAAAAATATTTTGATTCTACTTAAGATTGAGCAACAAACTAGGGTCGCTCATGAGAGGTGGGGTTGGTGCTGACTGGGCCTATTTTTTGTTTTGTTTTGGTACCGGGGATCGAACTCAGGACCTTGCACTTGTGAAGCAGGCAGTGGAACCACTGAGCTAAATCCCCAGCCCTGACTGGGCCTGTTCGAAAATAACAGAATTGGGGAATGTATCCAAAGCTGAAGTCCAGCTTGGTGTGTGCATTTGTGTGTGTGTGTGAAGTGTTTGTGTGTGTGTGCAAAACTGCTCCTCCTGATTCCCACTACCTACACCCAACTTCACACCTAAAAATGTGGTGACCCCATCATCTGCAACCCAGAAAAGAAAAAGTATACCTTGGTGTCTGTAAGTTGATTACATTTTTACGGATGTAAATATGTGTGACGCACCACTTATAAATAATAAGAAGACAAGAATCCTTATTGTAAATTCCATTACAGCTAGTTGATTCTCACAGGATGCTTTCATTGGTTTTTGCTGAACTCCTGTCACTATGGGGGGTTGATACATGAGAGTGGAATATTGGTTGCTATTTCATTTTATCATAATGAACATGAAGTAAAGAAGACCCACTCATTTATAAGAAATGCAAGTGACTTATTAGCAGAAGCAGATAATAGTTCTGGAATACTGGAAGAATATTTCCTGAGGTCCCTATGCTGTTCACAAGGTAAGAGCTGCAGACAAGAAGCCCACTAAGGTTTAATTTACATTATTAACATATTCTCCATTGTTTTCCAAGTCTAGGCCAGAAGCTGACAAACCAAGACCATTCAGCAAAATATAGTAATAAGAATGATGATGATAAACACAGGCCTGTTTTGGTAAAAAAAAAAAAAAAAAGTTTTTTTTGGAACACAACCACACTTACTTGTCTATGTGTTACCTATTTTTGTTTTGTTTTGCTTTGTTTTTTTGTTTTTGGTACCAGGGATCTTGTGTTTTCGAGGCAGGTGGCAAAACCACTGAGCTAAATCCCTGGCCCTCTATGTGGTATCTTTGACTGCTTTTCTGCTATAACAGTAAGTTTGCATAGTCACACCAGTAGTGACGCCCAACCTTGAAGCCTGTGTAACATCTGCTCTCTCCTTCCTCCCTGGTACCGTAGCCCTGGCCATCTCCGTCTCTTTACCCAGATCGTTAACAGTAATTTCTTAGACCTTGTCCTTATTTCTGGGGGACAAGACTCTCTGCTCCACCTTCTACATCACTGTGCATCAGATTCACCTTGAGGTTCTTGTTATAAAGCTGATCCCAGTTCAGCAGCCCTGAATTCTGCATTTCCAGGTGATGTCAGTGCTACTGGTCCACTGGCCACACTTCAAGTGTAATTACGGCCAGACTGCTGCTGCCAAGCACTCTGAAAAACATGATTCCAACCACACCACTCCCCTGTGTCAAACTAGTTGTGGCTTCCAAGATATAACAGGCTATTTCATTTACAGTCCACAGTATCTGCATTCTATGTGTGACCTTACTATGGCTTGCACTCATATATATATATGGTTTCCACCCCCTTCTGGAGAGCACCTCAGCCCTTCCACACCAGCCTGGGGCACCCCTTTCTGTCTTTCAGAGCCCAGCTGGGTGGCGGCCCCTTTCAGGAAGCCTCTTCTGACCTCCCCCATGAGAAAGGAGCACCCTCCACTCAGGTCCCGCTGCTCACCGTCAACACAAACCTCTCACTGTCCTTGCCTGCATTGGCTTATGTGACTTTCTCCTCCATTACACTCATTCGATCAAAATTGCCTGAGCCACACCCTGACTTCAACCCAACTGTCATTTTCTTGAGGGGTTGCCCTCACCTCACCAAGAAGCTCTCCAGTCCCTATCAGTCCCTCGCC